GAAGTGGTTGCACGAGCTCTCACTTGTTTGATATCAGCTGTTTTCCCTTATCACCTCACTCTCACCACTCGACGTGGAGAGAAGCAGCAGCGAAACAACCGCACCATCAGGTAACCATTAGGAATGAGTGGAGGGCGGTGCCAATGATTGTAGGTTGGGCCAATGAGAAGAACGACGGCATCGTGGGCCTCCTCACTCGCGAAAGTGGTGTAGTTGTTGCCTCTGCGGACCTGACTACCTGCTCACGAAGGGAGAGGAAAATTTCAACTGAACGCGGACGCTGCCTTTAATTGAAAACCTTACGTACTCAAAATGCCTCACCTCGAGGAACTGAGGTTTCCTCTTCGCCTGTTTCTATTTCACTCATTCCTTTTTCGTATTCAACGAAATCTCGCAAGAAAAAGTTGGTGCTCTCTGGTCCCCAGGCGCCAGGCAGGGATTCCATGTCGTCGACCAGTTGGTTTAGTCTGAACAAAGGATTTCGCTTGGAGCTTTTCCACAGTACTATATGATAATGTAAGATTTTGACCTCTTCACACGAGACTGATCTGAAAGATTGCCGGGCTTGTTCACGAATACTGTTGCAACTGTGAAATACGGTATGACATAATTGACTCGGTACGTGTCCATCTGCAAAAAGATACTGTTGAGAGTTATAGACGTCTGTCGCAATTAATTTAGAACTTCGCGCAAGAAACACATTAACACGGATGAAAGGATCAGGGAGGCTTGTCCCTCACTGTCTCTCCCTTTTTCTGCTGTCATAATGACTGACCCACTTTGACTTGGTCCATGTTAGGATATAAAAAGCCCTCCAAAAAGGTCTTCCTGACACGCCCCATCGTACGCAGCGAACAGGACTGCAAGTGCAACACTTTGAGAGCACTGGAGGTTCTACGAGAACCCAGTTCCGGGGAGGGGTTCTCTCAAGTGGGCGGAGCCTCTTACGACACGTTTTACGCTTGGGCACTTTTGCCGTACTGAAAAAACACTGACTCACCTCAACAAGCGAT